TCAGCAGGTTTTGTCACACGTTGACACCCTTTTGGCTGCAGTCTGGGAGGGCTTTGCTCTGGGGTGGGAAGATGTTGGCATGCAGTGGTCCAGGGCAGTGAAATAGGGTGTGCTGTCCTGCACGTTCCTCCCTTCTCCACCCAGGCTCTTCTGTGTGGTCAACGTTGACCACAAAACTCTGTGGTAGCCCTTAAGCATTAATGGGGAAGGAGCTACCGAGCTTTTTGCACCAATTCCCACCAGTCTATAAACAGGAAAGGAAGCAGAAATATTTAGGACCTCCCTTGCATTCCCCTGATGCTTGTTTATTATGAATTGTTCTCATGGACTTGCATGGATTAAAGCACCAGAAACAGCAGACCCACAGAAAAGCTAAAGGGCATTTGCAAATGGAGAATGCTGCTGTGCTGTTTTAATACTCCCCTGCAATCAAAATGCAAACCCTGGACCATTCGGTTGTGGGTGTGCAGAATATGGCGGGAACTGAGAAAGAGCAGGGATTCCACATGACATTTGCTCAGTGGACCTATCGAACCCTCATCTGTAGCTGGCCACATCTCCAGCTTTTGTGTTAAACATCATTCATGTGGGATGCAAACCACTGGCCAGGATGGCTCTGGATAATGATGGGTTGCAGTAGAGAAGGGCCTGATTTATTGCTACATAAAATATTATCCTTTGGCTGCCACTATGCATAAAAATTCTAAGCTATCTTTTTCACAACACAGTGAAAAAAATAGCACTTCGTTTTTCTTTTTTTTTTTTTAAGTTGTATTAATGCTCAGCTCTGAGTGATTCCAGCCTTGCCTTAACGTATTTTTCACCTCTGCACAGTCTTATTCTGTTTTTTTCTACCCTGCCTTCCTTCCCCCATTACATGCAAATATGTTTCCTAAAGGAAAATCCTATGGAATTCAGAAAACAGGCAAATTCAGATTGCTTTCCAAACTTTTGTTTGAAAAACTCGTGCTCATTCTGGTGCCTAAAACGGAGCCAAGCTATTTTGAAAACCTGGTACCAATCAAGCAAACCATTAAATAGATAAACTCAAAAGTTATTTTTCAATTTTTAAACATCCTAAACTTTAAATATTCCACATTTCCCCCTAAAAAATAAATTTAAAAAATCTCTAAGTAGGAGGTACTTAGATCAAAGTGATGTCCTATACGCAACTAGTCCCTCTGAACTTGTTTTTAAAGGAATACACAATCCACCTCAGCCAGCTGATGGCTTGAGGAGGTGCGGAGGTAGGATGGCTCCTTCCCCTCCCATCACCCCTGCTTCCCTCTGCCATGGGCAGCACACCAGAATTAAGCTCCTAGCCTGGCTCCTGCGGGCCAGTGACTGGATTTTGACAAAAAGGATAGAGGGTGAGACAGGAAGGAGAAAGGAAAAAGAGCTCTTTTACTCACTAGTTCACGGTGCCATACCCCTTGGCTTTAGTGAATCCCACAGAAATGGCAACCACCAAGGCAGGGAGCCCTACGGAAATGAAACAAGACAAAATTGGTCATTTAAGCATATGTGCGGCTCTTCTCCCACTCAACCACGTAATACACCCCATTCTTCCCAGTGTTATTCTAGCACCATCTGTCCCAGCCTGGGTCTTTGGCAAGACCTTCAAAGTCAAAAGCACGAACCCTTGTTACCTCTGCTAATGAAGTAAATGCCATCAGCTGTAATCAGCTCATATCCTGCTGTGGTCTCAGCAGTTGTGTGTGGACTGACAGTACATGCAGCTGCATAAAATATATTTATTTTTTTCTTAGGTACACAGGCTGGCCAGGAATATATAAGGGTGTCTCCCAAAGATGGAATATTCAGCCACAACCCAACCAAAGAAGCTTGCAAGGAGGAGATTAAGGGCTATGTTTGCTCTTAACATAATGTATGATGAACAACCCAGATCCAAATCTTGCCCCAAATCAGACAGAAAAGGAAATGGAAACTGAGTTCCCCTATCCCAAGCAGGTCCCCTAAATGCTGGGCCATGATCTATAATAGAGCACGTCCCTCTGAAAAACAACGGAGAAGAGCATCAGAACATCAGGTCTTTCTCCAAACCAGGATACTTTTTCTCTTGCCAGAGACTTGCTCCCTTTTTGTGTCCAAAAGGGGAATAAACTAAGAGAAACCAGCTGCCCTTGAGAAGACACACTTCATTACGAGTGTTGCAAAGGATGAGCGAGTTAGTCTGCAGCTGGGATGCCACAATGTACAAAGTACAATTTATCTTCAGAGTGTCATGAGCTAACGGTGCCAGCATGGGATGTCGTTTCAGGTGTGTAAGGAGGTGAAGCTATGGCCTTGACCTTAATGCTAGAAGCTCCTATAAAATTAGAGTGAGGAGTATAAATAAAACCTGATGGTTATTGTGCAACTTGCTGGTTATTGGCCTAAAACTCATAAAAAGTACTTAATTTGTTGTGTACTTGAACACATAGGCACAATCAGAACTAGCATAAGACACTACATCTTGCTAATAGTCTTCTGATCCTTCTTATGCCTGCTCAGAGATAAACTGCTGAAGGATCTATGGAGAAGATTTGGTACCTTTCTGTTTCAGTAGCCCCAGCCCAGCTCTCTCCTTTCCATAAAGAAATGCCTGGATATCAGCTAGTAGTATTCTGGTTCTTCAGCTACGGAGGTCTCCATGTGGCTTTTTATAGCCCTCCTCCTTCTGACATGATGAATTAAGCTGTCTCAATGCTAAAGATGGGCAAATCCCATTAAGAATTAGCAGGATCAGTAGCCAGCTAGGATTAGTGCTTCTTGACAAGACTTTAATTCATGTGCTGTAGAGGTCACGGCAGGTGGCTCTGCAGAAGATGCTGTAGATCGAAAGGATGTGCAGACACAGCATCCAAACAATAACCCTGCTGGCAATGTGGTCACTCAGCAATACAAATCATTGCAAGATTGATTAATAGTGAGGGTCTGCAGCCAGCTGGGAGGTATAAGGCCAAGTTGGCTCGAACATATAGCATTTGAGAATTATCATAAAGGGAAGTGTTTCTCTTCCCATATGAGATTTCCAAGCACAGCTCACGTTTGATCAGTCCAAAGCCAACAGGCAGTGGGTTTAAAAGCTGTCTCTTTTTTTTTCTTAACTGACTATTGCTCCTCTTGCTGATCCTCCTTCACACCTCATCTGGATATAACCTGGGTGCTGTATTCACTATGATGCCATCAATATGGCATCCCATGGCAAGCACACCAAGAAACCACATGTGAAAGGACTTTTTCAAGAGTAGAGCTTGATGCAAGAGGCCCTGTGAAAGAGGAAAGTTGGCTAAGACTCTGCCAAAAATAGCAACTTGTTCTTCTCAAAGTGCTTCTCTTAGACATGATAATTATGCAGAAATAGAGACTCAGGCTGTGAAGTCATCAGATTACAGGGACTGGCTTGTACCGAGCCTGGGTAGGAGCCCCAGCCTGTGCTGAAAACGGGTCTGTACAAGCAGCATTTACCGAAGGTGGTAGCTATGCCATGGTAGCTAAGCCAAAGAGCCTCACAATGAGGGGTGCTGTACTTCTCTGCCTTGGGAGAGTTGTTAATGGTCTAATCACAGTTGGATATGATTAAATTAAAAAAAAAAATCAAAACTTTTAATCTATCTTTTGATTATTTGAAAGAAAGTTATTCCTAACTGGTCTGTTCCATACACTGTGTGTGGTTTGTATCAGCCTTCTGGGCAGTCACTCATGCTACATAGTCACTGCAAGGTTTTGGGGGCTTTCTGCTGAAAGAGAATTTTACATTCACAATTCAAAATAAGTGTGTTGTTAGAAACCTGTTTCAAAGAGATTTGTATTGCCAGGTCAGAGGAGAATCAGGTCATGTGTTCATCATGTCCCACTAGAAAAGGTTGTTTGCTAATAACTAACAACTGTTATGAGCATCTGAAGACCCGCTCAGAGCCTGAGCTATGGCAGCATGAAAAATCTAGTTGTGAAAACTATGACACGGTCTGACAAAATTATTTCTTCTTTACTTGGGCTAAATATGATGACTGAGTTGTTTCTAGGGAACAGTTTGTGTGTCTGTTCTAAATAATAATTAAAAAAGAATAATAGTAAAAAAAAAATGTAATTGCTAAAACTTCTTTTTTTGGAAAGGCAAAGTTGCATACCCAAGTGGAGAACAGAAAAACAGGGAATAAACCTCAGTGCTGATGAAAACCACCGTAGCTTGAATGAGCTACAGTTGACAGCAGCTGAGAACTTGGCAAAGACGTCTAGAACAAGGGCTTAGAGAAATGCTAATACGCAAAGGGGGAAAACGGGGAGAATTAGCCCATGACAAAGTGAATTGTGCTAATTATTTCAGATTATGCTCTTTAAAACATATTTTCGGCCTCTTTCCTCTTACAAGTGCCATTGATCCCAGCTCTACAGCTGATGTCTAGCAGGATGCTAAATATCGGAAATTCCCTTGCTGCCTTAATAGGTGAGTGCTCTTCATTTCTTGTCCTAACCTATTCCAAATGGTTATCATGCATCATTTATCAGACAGTGCATCCTAGCTCAGAGATGACTACATTTTACTAGCAGTGCAAATTATGCTTCTACACATGTAGGGTGGCTGGTTTTTTTAATCTGTACAGACTACAAATGTGAATGTCGCTCATCCAAAATTCCCCTGGCTAACACACCCATCTGTCCCAGCTTTTACAAATCAGAAAAATCCCTTTTTATTACCTAGAAAAGCTATTAGGCTGTTGCATTTGAATCCCTGATGTTCCTTGAGTCACAAAGTATTTGTGTATAAACATATGCATGAACACACAGAGGCGCATGCAGCCTGTGCTTTGCACGTGTGTGGCTGTGCTCCTGCTACACACAAACACTATATTTCAATAACACAATTTATTTTCTATTGTAAGCAAAAGCTAGGAGTGAAAACTTAAAGGGATGCAGGTGGTGGAACGAGGACGGCTCTTGATGTGCCAGAATAAATCACATCAGGGCGCTTTGTAAGCATCAGAAATATCTTGCCTGGGGTGAAATGCTAGACTTCAGTAGTAAAACGAGACACTAATACAGCTCAGGCGCGCAACACTTTCTCTCTCCTTTTCTCTTTTTTGCCAACTCGCTTTCGAGCAACTTTTTTGTTCAGTTGCTCCTTTCAAATGCACTCTTGTTATTGCTTTGAAAGCCCAGGTTATGGGTTTGTGTTTGTTTTCTACTACAGAATGCATCATTTAAGGCTAATAAATTAAACATACGGAAGAGGCAGAGGGAGAAAAATTAGTTACAAGCGTCTGCACCAATCTCATAGTTTATTTGTCTACAAAAGGCCCTGCTGCCATGGAGACGGGATTTCAGAGCTTGCTTCGCTCTGGGTTGCACATAGAAGGAGATAGCGAAAGAGAGAAACGGAGAAAGCAAGAAAGAGACCAAAACCCAAGACAGAGACCCAAACCCAGGAGAAACCACCCCCATCACGCCCTTTGAAAACTCAACCCCTCTCGACTCATCTATTTTGTGTGACCCTCAGGTACACTGGGCAGCAGGCAGAACTTATGGCTATTTTTAACCATCTCAGCCTTTCTTGACACCCCCGAAAGGGTTGCAAGCATCCTCTGCCAAGTCTTCTGCAGAGCATCAGTCCCTCTTGTAGCCCGGACCCTCTCTGCTCCGCATCCCGGGGTGGGCACAGTGCTTCCCTCCCTGCCCTGGGGCAGCTGCTCCACAGACCCAGGATCCTCACCCCATCCGAGACACAAGAAGCGCTTGCGGATGATGCGGTTCCGTAACCGGCCCGTCACGGCCATGTAGGATTGCCAAGCCTCGGTCAGCACCCAGCAGAAAGAGGAGAGGAAGAAGAAGTGCAAGAAAGCCGCCACCAGCGTGCAAATCACCTAGAGAGAGGAGGAAAGGAGGACACGTGAGAGGAGCAGCAGGCGGAGAGAGCAGAAGGCACAGAGAGATGCTTCCAAACCAGGCTCTGGAAGGCAAAGTCATGGAGATCAGGACACGAAAAGACAGTCTCACCCACATGCTTTGACCTAGCGAAGGACCCATACCTAGGTACTGCATGGAAATTGGCTGCTCTTAAACATGAACTCTAAGATAAGCCCACAGTTAAGACTTTCGCTAAAGTCCGAGCCAGCGTCCCATCCTGGTGCTTTCTTGGCTTCAGCAAGATATATTTATTTTCCAAATGATCAAAACCATTGCCACGATCCTTTCAGGGAGGATGGAGCAGTTAGTAAGCCGTGCGCTAATCTCAGCTCAAAAGGTTTGCAAAGCCCCATGTCGTTGGCAGCCGAGACATAGAAATGAAATCGGAGGAAGGCAATTTAGATGGCGTCCCTGCCAGGGAAGTATTGTTGAGTGAAGGAGTTAAGTCGTGAGAGCCGGGTGAAACCATGGCTGCCAAGGGCTGGTAAGGACTGCAAACATGAGTGGCGCATAGTTGTCCAAGAGCATATAACTACTAGCAGACAGGGAAAAAAAGGAAAGAAAAAAAAAGCCAACTACATTGGGAGGAATTTCATAATGGTGAGCTCTGCTGCTTGGTGGGGAAATCTCTCAAGGGAAATGCAGGGAGCTTAAGCCATTTAAAATTAAACTGGGGAAAGTACTAGCAAATGCATTATGAAGAACAATCCTGTAAGTGCCAGGGAGATGGACTGGAAAGCTGACAAGCTCGTCTTTGTTTTTAACTCAGCAAGGCCAAATCTTTCACCGGTGCAAATTGGTGCCGCTCTGTTTAACTCTGCCAGAGCTGTGCTCAATTTCCACCATCTGCGAGCTGGAAACTGTGAATCAATGTACTCAAGAAGAAAATGATGGAAAGAAACTCCAGTGGCTCCTAAGGAGAAGGGAGAGCAAATAGACTTTAAAAATTACTCTGGATTTAAAAAAAAAAAAAAAAAAAAGGCTTAAGGCATTCAGGGCAGGGGGAGGGGGAGGTTTATAATGAAGAATTTCTCAGCTTTGAGTTATATCAGGAAACATGGACTTTGGGTTTACGGTCAATGAACCTGCCTCTTTTTTCATCCACCAGCATCTTTTAACACAGAGCTCTCATGCACGGAGTGTCTTTTATCATGATTTTATCGGATTGCTCTCGATTCATACACCGGCACAAACGTTATCAGAGGTTGTGAATAAAAGTAAGGCTGTACGTTCTTTAAGACAGGAACTGTCTTTTTGTTCCATATTTGTATTTGCACCAAACCCCTTGGTATTCTGCCTATAAATGGATTCTGGATGACAGTTCAGTACAAATAACACAGCTCAATATGATAATTTCAAGTAATTTTCACATTTTGAAAGAATCCTAAAAAGGTGGTTGCTATTCATCAGCTTACAGACCTATATAAAACAGTTGCAAACACAGGATGCTTTCTGGAATGTATTTTAAGAGACTGTTATTTTAGAACTTTTTTTTTTCCTATCATCAGACATGACACTGCTTATTTTACCGTTTTGATTTTTTTTTTCATTTTACCATTTTGATTTTGTTGTGCACCAACATGGTTCTGTCCAGTTTGCCAGCAGTTTGTAAAGGGGACAGAAATAATTTGCTTTCCAACTTTACACCACAGAGTTACACTTTCCAGGTACTTTTTCTCAATCAGGTAGTTTTGATAGAGAAGAGAAGAGACGAGCACAACAGAAATACGCAGATCTCAGCTGGGCCAATATAAACCCATTGCCTCAACTGAAACCAGGCTGTGAACTTGGCCAGCTGATGGGCAGGCACATATTTGTTTTTGCTACCTCTGCTGCAGGTTTTTCCTTCCTTGTAACAAAATAAATAAATAAATAAATAAAATCTCCAGGAGGGCCAAAGCACAAGGATATGATGTCCCAAGATGCTGCAGAAAGATCTAGCAGAGCTTGTCAGTCTGTTAAGGCCATTAGCCCTTGTTTTCCTTTAAGAGGAGAAATCTGTTTTCTTGCAGCACGTAGCCATGCCTTTGAGATATGGCCAGTTCATGCAGCATTCATTTCTTTTGTATCCTGTTATTGCTGACTGTAATTTTTTAGCCTTTTCCCAGGCCTTTCATCTTCAAAAAGCTTAGCAAATCCAGGCATGGAGTCTTGCCTTTGAGGTTACACAGACGGAAATCAAGGGAGAACTTGGCATTTCCAGGGAAACTAATACTGTAGAAATTCTCCCAGTGTAACTGCAATTATAAATCAATCACCAAAATTTTAAGACACTCCATTATCAATAATTGAATGTGAATAAAATCCTAATTTACACTCCTTCGCCTCTTCTCTGCATAGTTTTCTTTCTCTGTTCCCTGCCAGAGACTGTTTACTAGATGGTTGAGCGGAAATCCAAGAATAATCTTTCTATTTATGGTGTTTCATGCATATGTATGTGCAAAGAGCTAATCTGCCTCATGCAATCACAGCCGGGAGCTTTGAATCCCCACTAACAGCTCTGACAGCGAACACCCAGAATGATGTGAGGAAAAAAAGCACGAAGGAGAACCTGAGCTCACAACTGTGCTCTGAAGGAGGTGGGAGAGGGTGAAGACATCCACCTCCTGTCCTGGAGTGAAGAAGAAAAACCAAAGAGGAGGTCCAGCCATGGTTTGCCATGTTGAGCATCCCTCAGGATTTCTTTCTATGGAAAGAAGCTCCTAGCACACACTTGGGGTTGCAGACAACCCACCCAGGGAAAGTGAGAGCTTAGCTCACCCTTTCTCCACCTCTTGTCCCAAGAAAACCGTGTTGGCCATGAAAGAAAGCTCTGCTTTGCTAAGATAATTTCTGAAGGGCAGTTGTTTAATAGGAGCAGAGATGGCTGGCTGCCTCTCTCCACACTTCTCTACACACATATGACTCCAGCAGCTGTAAAGCCTTCCCTAAAACATAACCTAGCCCTAACCCAAAGGGCTCTCCATAGGAATGAGTCTCTGTGATTCATTAAACCCTGAGGCTTCTCTGCAGAAATGATTCCAAAAGTGATAACATGCTCTGGCTGCCAAAGTAGTTGCTCGAAAAACCTGGCCGGTTACTGGTTGCTGATAATTAAAAAAATAAATTTTGACTTCTGATTGCGACTTTGGCAGCAGGAGTAGTGAAGGACACTTCTTGCCTCACTTTTCTGCTCAGCGGAGTTAGGATGGTTGGAGCACTTGGGGAGATGGGAAAATGTGCCACAGGAAAATATTAATGATGAGCAGCGATTTGTTATGCCAGACACCAATGGGGAAACTGGAAGTACTTTAGCAACGCGCGCCTCTCCAGCTGGGTCTGTAACGTGGTAAGGCACATATGTGCAACCAGTGCACATGCCTTGAAAATCCACGTTACGTCTTGTCTTTACTGCTCGAGTCGCACCGTGAGCTGCAGTGAGCCTCTCACAGCCCCCGGCTCTGCAGTGTGCACAGAGTGTCTGGCAGCGCTTCCTACCCCAAAAAAAAGGTGTTTTTTTGTGGCTGTATTCATTAGCATCTGCCAAGTGCTTTAAGCTCAGAGTATAAAAGTTGTTGAAGAAATAAAAGTAAAGCTGAGATGTTGGGTTTGGGTTTTTTGTTTTTTTTAAAGCCTTTTCTCAATCTGTCTTTCTTTGTAATTTTTGGAAAATAAAATGGTTAAAGCTTTGCAAATAACCATGTTTCTTCCCTGTGCCATGTGCCAGCTACTCCAGGCACATATTCAAAAATATCACATTGGTTTTAATCAAAGCCCCGAGGATGCTGACAAATTATCAAAGAGAGAGTGAGAGAGAAAATTGAAATCTGCCATTTAGTCGTGTCTTTGACATGTTGCGAATTAACAGATGGAGGAAAAGTGAGGAAGAGCTGCCTGAATGGATCATTTCAGTGCTAAATCAGAGGAAAAGCAAACAAACACACAAAGCTCAACCGATCTCCTACCTTATTCCGGGTCTGGGTCTGTCCGATCAGGATGAGAGCATTGGAGGAGATGATGGATAGGCAGAAGTTGATAAGAATGACAGAGCGTTCTGAGCGAATATACCTGCAGCAAGAGAAGAGGGGGAGGGAGATCCACCCTGTTACAACTTCATTAAGTTACCTCTGAAAAGCATCAACCAGGTGCAGGTTGCACTGGGCCAGGGTGGTAAGAGATTGCCCATTTCCTGCAGATCTTGTGTGTTAGACAAGAACGAGGAGAAAAGGGAGAGGGAGAGCTTAGGTGTAGTGCTCAGCCCACAGATCTCTCCATCCTCCCCCCATCAATGCTGGAGTTATGAGCATGACTCAACAAACTAGGGGCCAGCCTGGTCCCTAGTGTGAGCTGCTCCTAAAACAGTAGAGTGCTGCAAGTCTTCTTCAGCTCTCCTAACTTGAAAGGGGACTTGAAAAGGAGCTTGAAAGAAAACATACAGGCAACACATGGAAAGATTCCCAAATAAGAAGAGCCACAGGCATGCTGGCGATGAAAGCAGATTACGAATGCATGCACCTTCACAACAAAGTGTTTGTGATTCAGCATTCCTCTTTGTTTAACCTAACAACCCATTCTGAGGTGAGAAGACGGGAGAGGTTTAACACTTCTCAAAACTAGGCCAAGAGGTAACTGCAGTTGTGGTTCCAGGACATTAGGGGTCCAAGTTAGGAAGCTGTTGCCTTCAGCACCTTGCAGGGGCAAGCTATTTGTCATTTCTGATTTGCAATGTGCAGCACAGCACCAAGTTGCTGCTGAGGTATTTGCACGACAATTAATTCAAAACACTGGCTATGGAGGAAAAGTTCTTTGAGGGCACTTTTATGTACCTAATAAAATTAAAAAGGTATTGCAAAAGTGCAAGTCCTCAAGGATTGACTCAGGACTTGACCATACCGACACTCATGCACGTGAATAATATCAGTGCTTCGGCAAGTGCCCTGCCTGAATACCAGATGAGTGAAGAGTAGACGCTGGTGCTTATAGAAATTAGAAACAGATCTATTAATCAACCAGCTCATCCCTGGAGGCTAATGCAGGATTATTTCCTATATTCCAGCACATCAACTATTTATATTGGTAATTTAATTTCATTAACTAATTTTAGCAAGAGTGAGTTGGTCGTGCTTTGGCTGCAGAGTTTTGAGTTTCTGACTAGGTGGGCAGGATGAGTTTACTGCATGTGTGTGTTCTGCCAAGGGTAAATCTTTGCTTTAGACCTACTGAAGGCTGAAAAATTTTTATTTTAACTTCCCTTTGACTTTCACCTTTGGATAAACATGAACCTTGAGGATATGCTACCCTGGGTACAAAAAAGTCACTGATGCAAAGTAGCCTGAACTTGTACTTAGCCTGTTGGAAATCTGGTTTATAGGTAGTTCTCCCTGAAACTCACCCAACCCCAGAAGAGACTACAAAATTTAGGCTTCCAGCTCAACTAGAAACTGGGTTGACTGCCTGCAAAATGAGCCTCTGGTTCCTTTCATGGCCAGTCTGATCCCAAATTTCCTTATTTTGTTGGGCTCAATACAATGCTGTGCATCACCTGGATCCTATTCCATTTGTGGCTGGAGGGTACACAGCCATCAATCTATCTATGTTTTGATTGTGTGAAGTAAAATATCAAGTCTCCATTCAGCAGCTTCTAGGGGATAGAAAGGGAGATTTGGTCTCCGTCTTGGCAGAAATGAGATGTAATGAATCTTCGTAGCAACACTATGATCCAACTGGCATTAGCATGCACTTCAACAGTTTCCTCTGGTCAAAAAAGGTAAGAAATGAGTTGACTGTAAGTACAGTCTGTATGTGAATATAAGGGAAGATAATCCAGCTGTCTTCAGACTTTTCCCCCCCTTAAATCTTTCCTTTCTCCATGCTTCCCTTCATGCACTGAGAGTCCATCCTGTTCCCCAGATCCCTGAACCTCCAAAGAATGAGACATGGGTTGGCAACATGTAGGATCACAGAATCAGATTAATTTAGGTTGGAGAAAAACCTCTCGAGTTCCCAGTCCAATCCTCTGCCCAAAAAAGGGCTAATTTCAAAGTCAGACCAGGTTTTTCAGGGTCTTGTCCAATCAAGCTTTGAAAATCACCAAGAACAGAAATGACATCACCTCTCTTGGATTACTTGTTACAGTACTTAACTGCTCTCATGGTGAAGGATTTTTTTTCCTTGTATCCAACTGGAATTTCTCCTGCTGCAACTGGTGCCTCTAGACCTTTCTCTGTATACCTCTGCAAACTGTTGGACTTCTCCATGATTCCTTCTTGCAGCCTCCTCTTCTCCAAGCTAACTAAGCCTTGTTCCCTCTGCCTCTCCTTGTACATCATGTTCTCCAGCTCCCTAAGCATACACTGGACTTGCTCCAATGTCCTGACATCTCTCTTGTATTGAGTCCAATATTGTGCAAACTCTTCCAGATGTGGCCTCAAGAGTGTCAAGCAG